AGATGTTCATGTGTGAGAATACGGGAGGAGGCCAGAGGTCACGCAGCCTGTGTGTATGTGTTCATGCAGATGTTCATGCGTGAGAATACGGGTGGAGGCCAGAGGTCAGTGACAGTTGTAATTCCTCAAGGAATTAATTAATTAATCCCTGTCCCTTATTTTTGAAACAAGGCTTCTGACTGGTCTGGAACTCACCAAGGAGGCTTGGCTAGCTGGCTAGCAAACTTGGGGAATCCTCCTGTTTCTGCCTCCCCAGTGCTAGGATTATAAATGCATGCCACCACACGTGATTTATCTTACATGGGTTCCGGGAACTGAATCCGGGTCCTTGTGTAGTGTGGTCAGTACCCTGATAGCTAAGCCATCTCCCCAGCCCACTGGTATTTCTCAAGACCCTTAATATTCAGGGTGTTGTAGTTATCTCCTAAGGGGGCTGCCACCCTCAATGAGGGGTGCTGTGTAGGGACTCACTCCTCACATCATGCTAGAGAGAGGTGCCATGCACATTGGAGGCCAGTCTGGCCCTGGAGATGTCCTGGCGACCAAAGGGCATGGTTCCTCTTCTCTGGCCTTCATTTTTCTCATTCATCAGACAGTCTGGATGAGCTGGAATTCCATCTGGGTGGTGCGGGAAAATTGTCTGTATTCTAACAATCATGTATTTTAGTAAAACGCTGGTTGGCCAGGCAGGAAGTATAGGCGGGAAAACCAGACAGGAAGTAGAGGCGATACAATGAGAACAGGAGAATTCTGGGAAGCAGGAAGCTTCCTCTGCCACTCCTGCACAGACCACCAAAGAGGCAACATGTAACTTGCCCAGCTGAGAAAGGTACTGAGCCATGTGGCTAATGTAGATAAGGATAATGGGGTAACATAAGTTATAAGAGCTAATAAGTAGCCTGACCTAATGGGCCAATCAGTTTATAACCTAATGTAGACTCCGTGTGATTTTCTATGGGATTTGCCTGCTGTGGGGTACAGAAACCCCAACAAGCAGGCCCCTCATGTTACGTATAGCGCCCAACCGGAGGGGAAAGATGTAAGCTGCCCCGCTGGAAAAGGTGCCATTCATGTTACAAATGGCGCCCACGTGGATAACTGAATCCACAGAAAGCTTGAGAAAGCTTGGGAAAGAATAGAGTACAGCATGTTTTGTTGGTAGCAGCAATTTCTCAGGTCTACTCTGCTTGCTAGAGGCAGGCAAATGCTCTCATCTAAGAGAGGCTTCCTGATTCAGCTTTAGCTGCAAAACCCTGCAGCTCTTTTAAAAAGTCCTGCCACAAAATACTTAAATAGTATTGATGAAAAGCTGAACACATGCTTTTCGGTTGTCAGTCGTAGCAGGAAAAAAGCTACGCTGTTTTAAAGTGCTGGCTTTCTGGGCTGTCCTTCCAGGGCAAACTCTGACTCTTTCAGGCAGGCAGTCCGATTGAGTGTGGTCTGTGAGCAGAATGCTGCAGCTTGCTGGCAAGGACCTTGAAACACCATAGAGTTGTGGCAGTGAACACAGCTCTGGTTGGTACCTCAGCCACGAGGCTGGAAAGCTAAGGAATGGGCTGGATCTAGCCATCAAAGTCACAGCTTTCATCCTCTTCTTAAAGACTCAAGTGGTCAGAAAAAGAGAGATATACAGTAAAGAGAGATTCAAAGACAAAAGAAAACCTCTAAATGTTTTACAGTGTGTTAAAAATATATGTAGGCTAAAGGTTAAAGTCATTAAAAATAAAAAAAGAAAGAAAGGGAGAAATAGGGTGTGGTGGTACACACCTTTAATCCCAATGCCTGGGAGGAAGAGGTATGTTGACCTCTGTGACTTCAAGGGGCAGAGATAGATTGACCTCTGTGACTTTAAGGTGTGGTAGCACACACTTTAATCCCAATGCCTGGGAGGCAGAGACAGACAGATCTCTGAATTCAAGATGTGGTAGCACACACCTTTAATCCCGGCACTGGGGAGGCAGAAACAGGAGGATCTCTGTGAGTTCAAGGACAGCCTGGTCTACACAGTTATTCCAGGACAAAGATATACAGAGAACCTGTCTCAAAAAGTAAAAGTAAAAATAAAAGAAATAGAGGTTAAAATAAAGCCACATAAAGATGGAAAATACACAGAGAATCTTGATACTGTATGCTATTATGCTCTCTTTGAATTGTTTGATTGCTGAGGAAGGAGCAACAGCTGCTAAAAGACTTTTGTTTATAAATGCTGCTGAACTAACCCAAGATAGGTATTTTGAAAATACCTTGGCTTCAAAACTGAGGTCAAAATGTATGTTACTTTGGAGAAGAGATTTTGCTTTTGTTTCCACAGGAAATGAGAGGCTGTGGATTCATTCTGAGCTAAGAAAAATCAGATTTGAACAAGGAAGACCACCCGAGAAATCTCCGGTAGGAAAAGATGGCCCAGATGACAGAGTTCTACATACAGAACAGATTCAAGACTGCTGCCTGAGATGATCAAGACTCACAAGATACTCCAGTCAGGACTTGATTATAACTCTAAATTTTCTTTAGGTCCCCATAAGATCATCAGCGCCCCCAACCAGCAGGAAGTAGCCTGAAATACTATGCCCACATTCCCAACAGATGGATTATGAGTATTTTCCTTTGTTTAAAAAAAAAAGAGGGAAATGGTGCGGGAGAATTGTCTGTATTCTGTCAATCATGTATTTTAATAAAACACTGGTTGGCCAGGCAGGAAGTATAGGCGGGAAAACCAGACAGGAAGTAGAGGCGATGCAATGAGAACAGGAGAATTCTGGGAAGCAGGAAGCTTCCTCTGCCACTCCTGCACAGACCACCAAAGAGGCAACATGTAACTTGCCCAGCTGAGAAAGGTACTGAGCCATGTGACTAATGTAGATAAGGATAATGGGGTAACATAAGTTATAAGAGCTAATAAGTAGCCTGACCTAATGGGCCAATCAGTTTATAACCTGATGTAGACTCCGTGTGATTTTCTTTGGGATTTGCTTGCTGTGGGGTACCCGGACAGGACAGAAACCCCAACAAACAGGCCCTTCATGTTACATCTGGGTCTGACTTTTATTGCTCTGCTTCTTAACGCATGTTTTTGGGAGCGGTATTCATTCCCTGCTGTAACTCTGGGTGTGTGCCTGTCCGCATGTGCACAGGCGCATTTGGAAATCCACCGGGGGTCTCCCACTTCCACCAGAGGTAGAGGCTGGTGGGGCTCAGAGCACGGTCTCTGGAGCACACACCCCATGCTCAGCCCCGTCATTCCTAAACCCGGGCGTCTGCATCCATAGACACAAAGGAGCAGGAAGAGCAGCTCTCCCCCTTATCAATTTAGGATGACAAAGACATGGTGAAAGCCCACAGTTCCCTGCTCAGTCTCTTCTGCCCAGGAAATGGGGTCGTACTCTCTCGTTTATGACACATTCTGTTCTTCACAGAGGACCCGAGGGGTCACATTGTGTTGCCCCTGTAAATGACTGTCTAGCACACAGCAAGGCTGGCCAATCACAGACAGCCCTGTTCTTTCCTTGTTGATTCTTTTCCCCATGTTTTTCTCCCCTCCCTCTTCCTCATTGCCCCTCCCTTATTCCTCGCAGCCCCCTTTCCCGTTCCCGTTACAAGTCCAGTTGACTTCCCTATCTCAGGGCAACCTCTCTCAGAACCTCTCTCAGGTTCTTTCCAGTTTCATAACTTGTACTTTCCCCCACTTAAAACAGCTGAAAACATCCCCTAGAACACACCTCTGACTGCGGTTTCATTACCTGCGGCTTTCAGCACGGTCCGCAGCTCATAGGAAGACATGGTGCCAGACTTGTCCACATCGAACTGGAGAAACAGGTTCTGGGCCAGGGAGTAGAGCATTGAGAAGTCAAAGTCCAGGGACCAGAGACAGCTGGTAGCTGCCCAGGAATGACAGCTGCCTTCTAGGCAAGGTTGGACCAGGACCTTCCCTTCCTCCCTCCCTCCCTTTTTTTCTTTCTTCCGTCCTTCCTCCCTTCCTCTCTCTCTTTCCTTCTCTCTCGCTTTCTTTCTTTTTTTCTCTTTTTCTTTGACAGAGTCTCATCTAGCCCAGGCTAGCCTCCAAAGCTCTATGTAGCAGACGATGACCTTAAACTTCTGATTTGTATCTCTGCTGCCTAAGTGCTGGGATTGTAGATGTGCAGCAACATGCCCAGTGTCTTGCTGTGGATCACATCCAGGTTTCATGCATGCCAAGCAAACACATTATCAATTCAGCTAGACCCCCAGCCCATAGACCCTTTTTTTTTCCTTTTCTCCATTCTTTCCTCCTCCTCCTTTTTGTTACTGTTATTTTTAGTTATTTATTTTTTGGAGACAAGGTTTCTCTGAGTAGCCTTGGCTTCCTTGGAACTCATTTTATAGCCCAGGCTGGCCTCAAACTCGGAGAGATCTGCCCACCTCTGCCTCCTGAGTGCTGGGATTAAAGGCGTGTGCCACCCCCACCCATCTGGGCCCTCTTGTCTTCAATGCAGGTCTCACACGGCAGGTTCTACTCCCAGCCATGGGTGCTCTCTTGCCTCCTTTTTTTTTTGAGTGGAAGCATCGTGGCACCTCTGCCAACATCAGGATGCACTGTGGCTCCTTGACTCCCCTCCCAACACTGCTCAACCTGTAGCATAGGCCTTTGCCCCACTCTGCTGGGGGTCTGGACCAGATTACATACCATCCAGTGCTTCAGCTTGTCCCAGAATACCCGGAACTCTTCAAACTCCAGCTTCCCATTGCCACTGGTCTGGCCACATGGGCTAAGGGTCTTTCAACTTAGGATCCTCGAAGTAGCCTGACTCTGGGCTCACAGGAGGAGGCCAGGGTTGTGTGGTAACAGAGTTGGAGCTCTGAGGTAGTAACCTTAGTGATGGAAACAGGAACCTCTGAAGAGGGGGAATGGCAGATAAGATGGGGTGGGCACCTGAATATTTATACTGCAGGAAATCAGACCCATTATCCCCTTGGGGGAGACCCCAGATCCCCTCAGAAACCCTCTTCCCACTGTGTGGTTCTGACCCTTTTAATTTTGGCTCAACCCTAGTTATGTTGGGAAAGCCCTCTATTTCTAGAGCAGAGGTGCCTGCCCCAGGACAGTGAGCACCTAGGACACCCCTGCTCAGGGGGACCCCGGGACA